TTGTGTTTGCACATTTCTGTTGCTTGTGGGGCTCGCACACAAGAATTTCACTCGCATGTGCTGTGCCAGTGTGCCTGCACATGCGATGTGACAATAAAAGTGATTTGATTTGATTTGATTTGATAAAGGCAGCAGCCAGGAAAGAAGAAGATTATTCAAAAATACAACTTATGTCACAATAAAATTACACAAGTATGGCTTGCAGTAGTCCAATACAATCCACTAGATGCTGCTAACATGTAGCAATATAAGTGTGTTAAATAGCATGGAGCTGGATGTACTATGGCAAAAGTGAAGACTGCAATGCAGTTAACAATGACCTGCCACCTTAAGCTCTGCAGGTGATAAATTAACACTGTGATAAAAAGAGATTAATGTCCAAGACAAAATCTTGCACATTTGTACCAGTCAAAGTTCACTTTATGCAATCAACTGCACATGGAGACGTGATCCACACCCTGGGAATACTTCGCCATCACATTTCAACTCATTTCATGGTGCTCGAACACCCTCGACCCTAAGCTGATGTGCTGTTTTTAGCGTTACTGTTTACAAAATGTCAGAAAATTTGAAAAACATCCTGGAGGAATGGAAAGGTCTGGAAGAAGAGTATCAGCAACTTCAGGTAAGAAACTGCTCATAATCGGGACAGCCTTGCACTGTATACTGAATATATGATGTTCTTTTACAGATCCACAGAAAGCTGAAAAAGTTGAAATATTTCTTCTAACTGATATGTTTCCTGTGTTGTTGTTATAACCTTGTGTTCTTAATGTCCTGCAGGAGACACACAGAATGTATTTAAAGAAACTGGATGAACTTTCCAAACTGCAAAACAACTGCTCTTCCTCTATCTCCCGTCAGAGGACAAGACTGAATGAGATATCCCAACTGGTGAAAAAGTAAGTGTGAGTCACAACTAGGGATACACACGTACACAGATGTACAACAACGTAAATTATATCTTGCATTGCATCATAAGAATTGTGGGGAGTTCTGCTCATTTCAGGTGTGTAAGCCTCGAATTGAGTCTTACAACTAATATAGAGAACTTTATACAACATGCCTCATTCACACACAAAACTTTCCTATAAGTGCTTTCTTTCTAACACTCACACTCAAATGAACACATCCAAGAGAAACTTGGGCTTTATATCTCGTCCCACATTCCCATAACCCTCATCCAGTGTGTTGCTACAAGACCAATGGCTGAGCAGCATTAACACTGGCTGCAAGTCTTTAGTCCCTGCAGGGGTCCAGGTCACAGCCTACAATCCTAAACTGTTTTAAACGGCCATACAAATATTAAAAATCACATTTCCACAAAAAACAAGCAAAAAAGAACCTCGGCAGAACATAACTGAAATACTATCGCAGTTCTAAATTTATGATTTGAACGTTTTATAGCGTTGGCACACTCACCAGTTCACCACAAGTGTTACTTACTTACTAAATTAGTTAAATATTAATTGTGGTGGATGACACCACAAAGAAATTTAAAAGACCTGTGTAAATTAAAATTAGTGCATTAACTGGACTTTTACAGTGAATTAGCCTACGGAAAAAATAGAGCCAGTCAGGTTACACACATATCGTCACAGACAGTATGATGGAAAACATTTAGGGAGTGCATGCTGCCATGCAGTTCATTTTGGGTCCTTAATTTGCATTTGCTCCAACTTTCCACCAGGTTTTATGAATTAGACTCAGTAGTTTTGACGTGTCCTCACTGGCGAAGAAATAAACAACAACAGTCATATCTTTGGTTTTAGAAGTGGCTGAGACAATTCAATGATGCAAAGTTATCTTGTGCTCTTATGTCACTTGTCAGATCCAGCAAAGGGTCATCAGAAGAAGATGCCAGGATTCTGGATGACATAAAAGAGAAAATCAAGATTCGACCAAATGCTTTCTTTCAGATGGAGGCTTTCCTTCCCAAGAAAAATAGGTAATCAATAGCTTTTAAAATATAAGCTGACTTTCATTAAATAAAACACTTTTTTAACCTAAAGAGAAAAAATCATGTGGTTGTTTGATCTTACAGCCTATACCTCAGTCTGGTTCTTGGAAATGTGAATGTCACGCTTTTCAACAAGCAGTCAAAGTAAGTTTGACCATCAAACCCAAAGCGCCGAGTATAAATATTTGACTTTTGCATTTTTCTCTGTTGATTCACTCTTATAGCACCATTTTTATTTATCCAGCCACACCTCTAATATTCAGATAAGTGCTTTCATTAGCACAGCTGTCCTCAGCTGCTGGATTTCGACAATCCTTCACTCTTCCCGAACTTATGCTTTTGCAGATTTGCTTACAAAGATGAATATGAGAAGTTCAAGCTGTGCCTCACAGTCCTTCTGCTGCTGTTCTCCTTCATTTGCTATTTCTTTGTGAGCTACAGGTAAAGCGTAATGTCATCATTAATAGCTGAATGCAACTGTGTGAGATACAAGCTGACACTGTTTCTCTAAACGTAACTCTTGGCTTTAGATTTTCTGACGTAATCCTCAATTTTCTGCTGGTGTGGTACTATTGTACCTTAACTATCAGGGAGAGTATCCTCATCACCAATGGCTCCAGGTCAGCACCTCCAATCACGATCATCTTTTTCATAAATTGCTACGACCTATTTATTAAAGAACTTGTGCATTACAGAATCAAAGGTTGGTGGGTTTTTCATCACTACATATCAGCGGTTTTGTCCAGTGTAATGCTGACTTGGTGAGTAGAATAGGTTAAAAAAAACAAAACCTTGATGCTCTTTAAAACACATTTAAACTCTAAATCTTTATTTACAAATGCCCTCCCTTTAATCCTCAAAGGCCAGAGGGAAACCTGTACCACATGTTCAGGAACCAGTTCCTCGCCTACTCTCTGTATCAAAGTAAGCTCTTATTTATTTCACACTTCCAGCTTTTCTTTTCTTTTCTTTTTGTCAATAGAAAATTGTACTTAGTAGTCAGTATAATCTTTTAATATCATAAGTTTACATATGGTAGTGATAGGATGTGCGATCTTTAATAGTCTGCAAAGGCTTTGTGTGCATTGCAGAGTGCTCTTGCATTCACAACCACATCCTGGGAGCATGGGAAAGGTCGTACCTTCTTTTATTGTTTTACGGTAGGATTAACGTAGCTATGTCAGTTTTAGTCTAAGTGCCTTTTTTACATATAGATGAACTGTTGGATTTTCCAGACCAGCAGGTTTAGGGAAGTCGTTTATAGGGTCACACTCTGACACACACACGCACACACACACACACACACATACATACATATACACCTCCACATTCCAATGCAAGGAACAAACACCCACTCACTCTCGTGCGAGAGCTCAGAGCTGCCCTTGCTAAGCAACAAGTAAAACTGTGTTCCTCCTATCTGATTCTCAGCTGAAGAAGTGTTTTAGAACATATCTCTTAACACTTTTTCAAACCAAACAAAACCCTGATGATCACTGTTTGCTTCAGGTTTCGTTCAGTGTCTGCAGTGCTATTATCAGAGCGGATGTCTGTACAGACTGCGAGCCCTGGGAGAAAGACACAACATGGATCTGACTGTTGGTGAGACACTCGTAGCAGGCAGATTTTATATTCATTGTTCATTCTCACAGCTGTACACACGGGTGCTCACACACACAAACTACACCCTTTTTGGCTCCTACCTCAAAGCACACTGTGCGCTGTTGATATTACGTGCTGCACAATAATGTTTAATATTTAGTATTTACTGTTATATTGCCATAGATCATCGTGATGTTGTTTATTGTATTGCTCTTGTTTTCTTCTGCTTGTTTTCTTTTTTCTTTCTCAACAGGTGATCCAGGTGATTGATATATGTATTTCTTTTTTGTCTGCTTATTTAGTTGGTTTTTGTTTTTTTTGCCCTTTATCCCCGTCCCTCTTCTCTGCTGTTTTTTCCCCCTCTTTCTTTCTCCCTTTTCTTTTCCTCATTCAAGTCTGTCCCGTATCTAGCAAGTGAAAATAAAATAAATAAATAAAATAAACAATAAAAGGTGAATCAAATAGACCATTACGGCAAGGCTGGGATGGTCAATTTGGTAAATTAAATCCGTTGGGCATCTTTCCTCGCCTTTAGACAATAATTCTGATGGCAAAAGAGCCAAACGGGACAGGCAAAAAAAAAAAAAAGATTTTATATTCATTAAATGAAATGCGACCACAGGCCTCGCTGTAATCATATATGGAAGTAAAAACAGACCTACAAAAATAGAAAACTGTTGTGTGTTTTCTGTATTTAGAGGGATTTCAGTCCTGGATGTGGAAAGGGCTGACGTTTCTTTTACCCTTCCTGTTTTTTGGTCATGTGAGTACAGTCTGTGTGACACTGACAAGCTTCTTCTTCTAGCTGCTTATTTTGCATTTTTAAAAAAAGAAAAAAAAATCATGCTTTGTCATGGTTTAGATCAGGAATGTCAAAGTCATTTTACACTGTGGGCCACATACGGGCTACTTTGATGTTAAATGGGCAGGACCATTCAAAAACATGAATAATGTGTGTAAAATTACAGAAAAAGTTCTGCTGGTTTATTACCCAGACTGTCCTATAATAATAAAAAAAATGTATTATTATTTTTTACTGCTAACTCACTGTAAATCAAACAAAAAACAAAAAGAAGCAAACAAAAAAGAGACATTTCCATCATAATGGAAAAACAGGTAATTTAATTATTTTTGGTGTAAGGTGAATGGGAAGGTGGGGGGTGTCTTTATCAATGGGAAAAACTGTAAAACTTATGACAAGTGAAACAGCTGTTAAAAAATCTATTCTCTCCCTCACATTTTCTCAAGATGTCCAGTTGGCCTGTTTCAAGTCTTTTGCGGGCCTTTCCTGGTCCCCGGGCCTCATGTTTGACAATCCTGGTTTAGATGGAATAGGCACTGATAAAAATGCTGATGTCATGTAAGACTTAATATCGACTGTATTTAGGCAGCTGGAGACAGTGTTTGGATTTTTGCTGATCTTGATAGCAACTCGATCTTTAGCATTCCTCTGTGTCTGTGTACTACAATCACTACTACTACAAACCCCGAGGCTTCGTGTTTTGTCTCTCAGTTCTGGCAGCTCTTCAACGGGCTGTCTCTATTCAGAATGGCTCAGCTCCCAGAGTGTAAAGAATGGCAGGTCAGTGGTCTCATACACACCAGGTTTTACAGTTTCTATGTGACATCCAGTCACCATTAGCACAGATTACATGCTGGTAACTGTGTGTTTAGGATACGACTCATCCTCTTCTGCTTACTCATGTTCTCTATGCTCTAATGTCATCCCAGGTTCCAGTGTGTGGGCTCTGCTTCCTTATTCTCTTCGCGGGAAACTTCTTCACCACTGTTGCAGTCGTTCGTCAGAAGTTAAAAACCAGGAATCAGAAGCCAAAGAGCCTGTGATGCAGGAAATTATTACAAGGCGGCACAGTGGTCCTGAGTTCAATTCCACCATCAGACCGGGGTCTTTCTGTGTGGAGTTTGCATGTTCTCCCCGTGTTTGCTTGGGTTCCCTCCTGGTACTCCTCCCACCATTAAATGACATGCAGATTGCTGGGATAGGTTAATTGATTAATCCAAATTACACCATAGGTGTGAATGTGAGCACGAATGGTTGTCTGTCCCTGTGTGTTGGCCCTGCGACAGACTGGCGACCTGTCCAGGGTGTACCCTGCCTCTCGCCCTATGACAGCTGGGATAGGCTCCAGCGCCCCCCGCGACCTTGAAAAGGATAAGCGGAAGCGAAACGGATGGATGGATAGACTTATTACAAGTGTATTGCCTTGTATTGTATGCATTGTATTGTGTAAAATGACTAATCACTCGCAGTTAAATGTTCAGTTATGATCCACATCACTTACAGTGGGGCAAAAAAGTATTTAGTCAGCTACCGATTGTGCAAGTTCCCCCACCTAAAATGATGACAGAGGTCAGTAATTTGCACCAGAGGTACACTTCAACTGTGAGAGACAGAATGTGAAAAAAAAATCCATGAATCCACATGGTAGGATTTGTAAAGAATTTATTCGTAAATCAGGGTGGAAAATAAGTATTTGGTCAATAACAAAAATACAACTCAATACTTTGTAACACAACCTTTGTTGGCAATAACAGAGGTCAAACATTTACTATAGGTCTTTACCAGGTTTGCACACACAGTAGCTGGTATTTTGGCCCATTCCTCCATGCAGATCTTCTCGAGAGCAGTGATGTTTTGGGGCTGTCGCCGAGCAACACGGACTTTCAACTCCCGCCACAGATTTTCTATGGGGTTGAGGTCTGGAGACTGGCTAGGCCACTCCAGGACTTTCAAATGCTTCTTACTCCTTTGTTGCCCGGGCGGTGTGTTTTGGATCATTGTCATGTTGGAAGACCCAGCCTCGTTTCATCTTCAAAGTTCTCACTGATGGAAGGAGGTTTTGGCTCAAAATCTCCTTAACACGGATCAGTCGTCCTGTCCCCTTGGCAGAAAAACAGCCCCATAGCATGATGTTTCCACCCCCATGCTTCACAGTAGGTATGGTGTTCTTGGGATGCAACTCAGTATTCTTCTTCCTCCAAACACGACGAGTTGAGTTTATACCAAAAAGTTCTACTTTGGTTTCATCTGACCACATGACATTCTCCCAATCCTCTGCTGTATCATCCATGTGCTCTCTGGCAAACTTCAGACGGGCCTGGACATGCACTGGCACTGCGGGATTTGATTCCCTGCCGTTGTAGTGTGTTACTGATGGTGACCTTTGTTACTTTGGTCCCAGCTCTCTGCAGGTCATTCACCAGGTCCCCCCGTGTGGTTCTGGGATCTTTGCTCACCGTTCTCATGATCATTTTGACCCCACGGGATGAGATCTTGCGTGGAGCCCCAGATCGAGGGAGATTATCAGTGGTCTTGTATGTCTTCCATTTTCTGATGATTGCTCCCACAGTTGATTTTTTCACACCAAGCTGCTTGCCTATTGTAGATTCACTCTTCCCAGTCTGGTGCAGGTCTACAATACTTTTCCTGGTGTCCTTCGAAAGCTCTTTGGTCTTGGCCATGGCGGCGTTTGGAGTCTGACTGTTTGAGGCTGTGGACAGGTGTCTTTTATACAGATGATGAGTTCAAACAGGTGCCATTCATACAGGTAACGAGTGGGGGACAGAAAAGCTTCTTACAGAAGACGTTACAGGTCTGTGAGAGCCAGAGATTTTCCTTGTTTGAGGTGACCAAATACTTATTTTCCACCCTGATTTATGAATAAATTATTTACAAATCCTACCATGTGGATTCATGGATTTTTTTTTCACATTCTGTCTCTCACAGTTGAAGTGTACCTCTGGTGCAAATTACTGACCTCTGTCATCATTTTAAGTGGGGGAACTTGCACAATCGGTGGCTGACTAAATACTTTTTTGCCCCACTGTACATGTTCAGAGACAAGCATCACTCTCCAATAAAGTCATTATTTTACAGATTTTCTGCAATTTTGTTTGTAGCCCTTAATGTTATTTTGACTATTCAGCTATATTTTATGTTAAATGTTATAATGAGTAATTCACGTTATATTTTATTTCTCTATGTGTTAAACTAATGATTAGCAAATAATACAGCCTGGGCTAAAAAGAAAAAAATCAGTGTTTTTTCCATTTCATGTTTTATTGTTAATGCTCATTTGGTGTCATCTTAATAAAGTGCCTTTACAGTTATTAATAAACAAGAAAATTGACTGAATTTCTACTTTAAACAAGGAGCTGGAAACATTCCTCAGGGATTTTGGTCCATATTGAAATGATAGCATCACGCAGTTGATAAAGTTTTGCCAGCTGCACATCCATGATATGAATCTCCTGTTAAACCACATCCCAAAGTGATGTAAGTGAGATCTGGTGACTGTTGAGGACATTGGAGTACAATGAACTCATCGTCTTGTTCAAGAAACCAGTTTGAGATGATCTGAGCTTTGTGACATAATGTTATATCGTGCTGGAAGCAGCCATTGGAAGATGTGTACTCTGTGCTTACAAAGGGATGGATGTGATCGGCAGGCTGTGGTTTTTAAACGATGGTTAGTTGATGTTTAGTCGGTACTAATGGGCACAGTGTGCCAAGTATCCCCCATACTATCACAACATCAACTATCACTGATAGAGGGCAGGAAGAAGAACAAGCAAACTCCCCACAGAAAAGACACTGGATTTGAACCCTGTGAGGCAAAAAGACCAGACAACATTCTTCCATTGTCCAACTTTGGCGTCAGCTGTATCCTCAGTCTCCTGTTCTTAGCTGACAGGTGTGGCACCCAAGGTGGTTGTCTGCTTCTATAGCCCATTTGTGTCAAGGCGCAATGCCGTGTATCCAGAGATGCTCTTCTGCATTACCAACAAGAGGCAGTGGCTCTATTTGCGTTTAGAGACAGCTGAGCCGGCGTACCAATCAAAGTACATGTTTATGTGAGGTGATATTACAGAGTACAGACGTCAAGTCTACTTTGTCACGTTTTAGTAACTGAAAAAGCCTTCAGTTATTTGTATTAATGAGTAGACAAAAAATCCTACAGTTCATCTGAATAGAAACAGATTAGAAGGAAATTGTGTATTTATTTATTTAATAAACATTCACTCAGTGGACAAAGATAGAGTTAGGCCTCGGTGACTGGACACAGCAGAAGTAAAGTTTGCTTTACTACCAACAGGTTTTGGCTGGAATAATTAAACTGTGTACAAAGGCCAGTTTGTTTGCTTTTTTTTGTTGTTGTTGTTATTTAAAAAAAAAAAAAATCTTGTTTACTTTAAAAGTGTACCATAGTGTACATGAACAAATACACTCTTTTCCAAACAGTGCAGGAGTTGTACTACTACTACTGCTATTCTTGTACTCGAGTACTCTTTAACCTTTTTATTGAATTTTACTTGTCAATAAATTTAAAACCGTTCTCATTGTGAGTGTACCTAATGAAAGTATCTGAACACGCAGGCAGAAAGCCTGACGGATTGCGGGGCTGTCACGTGTCCTTGGCACTGTGAACATAAAGTTAAACTTGCGAGGTCACGTTTGACGAGAGATATATGGAGATATATGGAGCTTGTTCTGTTCGTTGTATTACATAACCCTGACCCTTCCTCTGCTGCACCTCGCCTGCTATTTACTGAGCCAGATTAGATATGCACGGGCGAGTCTAAATTAAAAAACACTAAGTCTAAATTAAAAAACACCCATACAATAAATAAAATTAAGTGGGGTTTTTTCTTTTTCTTTCTTTCTTTCTTTCTTTCTTTCTTTTTTTTACATCATTCATTTTTAAGCTGAATCACGTCTTCAAAAAACACAGACACTCAACTTCTCCAAAAAATAACATGACGAGGCTAAACTGGCCTTCACAGTTCAAACCCCACCCCCTGACACCCCCCTGCTTCCAGGACGGAGTTGGTTTGATCCTGCATGGCGTAAAGTTTCCTTCCGCGTCGAGCACGCCAAGAGTCTGCCGTAAATCCAGGAAAAGAAGAAGAGAGCTGTGCGAGAGGCTTGCACAAAGAGGAGAGAGGCAGTTAAGGTAAGATGCTGAGAAAACTTGCCTTTTATTTGGTTTACGTCGACTAGCGCTCTGTGGCAGTGTGCGGAGACTCAAACCTAAGCGATATCGGACTTACACCATCACTAGAAACCTGTAAGACAGAGCCAATATTACGCTTTTACATCAGATATTAGCTGTAGACTACAGCCGACTACAGTGTTACGCAAACTGAGGTCAACTTGTATAATCTTTAAGCCACGAACAATTTAAAGTAGAATCTGATCATCTTTAAACGTGCAATTTATAAAACTATTGCGTGTCTGCGTTCACCGGTATTTTCTGTAATGTGTTTACAGCCACCTTTGTCACTCTCCAGAACATAGTCAGAGCCCGGTTCCGCTGGCTACTATTTCTATCGTTATTTATTAATTTGTAATGTGTAAAATGGGATTAAGTCTGCTATAACGGAGCTAACTGACACTCATAACTAGTATAACCGGTGTGTAGCGTGACATTACGTGTGGTACTACACACACACACACACTCGTGGGTCAATCTGGACTGTCCCACAGCCCTTAACGCTTTCGTGACTGAAACGCATATTTATTTTAGGTGAAAGAGCTGGACCGTAGTGATGTCCACATTGAACTGCTTCGCTTTTATCAGATTTCTGGTGTTGTTGGACATTTTTGCCCCAAATTAACAACTCACTTTATGTGGTTGTACTTTTAAACAACCACATAAATCATCTAAGTCAATGATCTTTTAGGGCACATGTGTTTGATATGGGTGAGGATATAGGAAAATATAAAGCGTTATTCATATAGTTTTACCCAAGGTTTTCTTTTATGACTACATTACAGGTATCTCTGAAGGAGTCACATGCAGGTCATTAGAAAGTTACTGTGT